TTTAGAACTTTTGATTTTGAACAACTTTGTTTTTGGAGATTTTGAGTTGTTACAAAAATTTGGGAGTAATTTGAGTTTCTAACTAGATTTAGTAAAATTTGAAGTTATTTGCTTCTAGGTGCGGTCGTGGCCGTCTTTGGCGCGAAATTAGGCCTTAAATGCTTCCTTGCACCCTATTTTGAATTTAAAAGTTCATTTTAAAATGTTCCCGACGCCACGACCATAATTAGCTCTCACCGTCACTTGGCATACTTGCAAAGCTTGTATAGCTCCGCTTACTCCTTGCGCACCCAACCAAAGTTGTAGAAACTCGCGGTGCGCGCTTCTTCTTTTAATTTTGAACCCAACTTTTGTTTTGTGAGTCTCTTTTGCCAAGCCGTGATTTGCTACAAAAATTTGGGAGTAATTTGATGCTTGTTTCCACCGCAACCACCCCGGGCGATCGACAATTGCTTTTGCTCGCTGCGTGATCCATTTCAAGCATTATGCTCTACTATGCTCAATCGCGTTTGGGTGTTGATGCTTCATAGGCCATCTGTTTAAGCTTTACAAGTCTCACGTCGCCCGGTAGAAGCGTAAGCGCAAATCATGACCGCCATGGGCCATGGTTTGCCTGAGTGCTTGGTCCAAACCAGAGTTGGTCGAATTTTGTGCCCCAAATCGATGCGTCTAGTCGAGGATAGTCACTGCGTTGGTCTCGCCAGAGGCGAAGATATCATCGTCGCGCACGCGTCGTCGCCGGAGTCAAAGCCTGAGGTTGAAGATGACATGTGGGGTCGGGATGTCGTTGATCGTGTGTAGTTCAAAAATAGATTTTTCTATTTTCTAGAATGAATGAATAGTGTCTGTTTTTGTTATTTTTGTGTAAATTTATTTAGAGCTCCAAAAACTATGAAAATTTTTGTGTGACCTCTCTATGATGTATATTATTTAGGAAAAATATTAAATGTTGTTTTTCATTACTTTTTGAATGTGATAAAAATTGCTCAATTAATTAATAAATGAGTTTTCAGGATTTTTCTAGGTTTATTTATGTATCCAAAAATTATGAAAATTGTTTTGTCACTTAGTTATCATGTGATGAACATTTACAAAAATTTTGAGGCCAATTGAAACAAGTTGATTTATTTCATAATTCTTAATTAATTAATTAATTTATAAAAGCAAATAGTAACCTTTAGTGATTTAGGTTTTGTTTAAGTTTTTGATTGAGTGATGTCCTTGGGTCATTAGTTGGTGATGATCCTTGGTAATTGATGTGAGTGTTGCAAAAATGGTTTAATTAGTTTAACTTGTAACTGTACCACGAAGGAAAGTTGTATTCAAGTTGTTAATTGTGCATCCATCATCGAGCATCATATTTCGTATTCCGCATCATGTTAAACATGACATTGTTACTATGTGTAGTGAATGAAGGTGAACACGTGGTAGTTAATCAAGTAGTTGAGAAGGTTGAGCCGTCTGTGGAGGTTGGTGTTGATATCGGTGGAACGACTCCGGACCTGGACTTTTCCGTCAATGAAGGCAAGCCCCGGATGCATACAACCCTACCATGTATTTTACAAATTGATTTCGCTTTTGCTTCTTTTACTGCATTAAGTGATTAGGAGTCAAGTGAAAATCAAATTGGTACATTACCAACCTTGTTATTCCATATTTACCATATTACCAGTTTTAAATTCGTATATGCCTAGTTTTGCTTAGCTATGCATAAAACGATGAAAGTCAGGTGATTACGTGTCACCTGCAAGTTTTAAATGGAACTTTGGTTACTTATGTTATCATGTGATATGGGAATGTGGAGTAATAAATCTAGACCGTACGGACTCGGTGTATGAGAACCGCAAGACATGGAGGTCTTATGAGCGGGTTCTTTCCGCCTGTGTCGATTAAGGTCCGTCCGTTGTTGAATTGCATGAGGTGAGACTTTGTAGTACTAACCACATACTCCGGTAAGACTTAACTTGGCTATTCTATTACGAGAATGGCTACTCGCACACTGGGAGTGGAGACATGACGGGAATAGCGTGTACTCACGTGGCAATGGGCTGGATTGGTGAAGTACTGTATTCTCGGGTGGCGTGGACCCGTTCTTGTTTAGAGGATCCGAGGGTAGGTTGATATATGTAAGTCGGGGACCTGCATATGTCGTGTGGTCTGAAATTCCTAGCTGGGTTTTTAATCGGTTCGAATCGTCGTTGCTCCTCGGTTATGGAGACTCAACTCACTGTTCATCATCATAGTAATAAATAACTGGAACTTGAGGATGACCTATGAAGGTGTTTATTATGAAGTTTTATGATCTCATTGCGGATCGTGTCAGCTTTGTATATGATCTTATGAAGTTTTAATGTTGATATAAAGAATTTTATTAAAAAGCTTTTACACAAAAGAACTTTGATTATTGCTAAAGCCATATCTTAAATCTCATGAGTCTGTATTCCTGAGTTTTATTAGTTTTATTTTGGTTAAGTCTTGTTGAGTACTTTTATACTCAGGGTTCGTTGACCCTTGTTGCAGGTGAGGTTCATGAGCAGGTCTGTTTTGGATCGTGCTGTATGACTGTTGTTCAGTGCGATGACGATAAGTAAATGTGTGGCCCTTGGGCAGGGCAGCTTATTTGTGTGTTCTGTAATATGTTATAATGCCACCCACTACTTTGGTTTGTATTATTTTCAAACTTAGTTGTATGGTTTGAAATAAATGGTTTGTAAATTATGTTATTGTAAGACTTCCGCCATTTTTACTCTGGTGTATATATTTGAATAAAATGTTGTAATACTGCAATGACTCTGTAATGTGATTCTGCTCGGAAATCGTGGATGATTCGGGGTTCTCCGAGGACACCCGACAATCTTCTTAAGTTACCGGGAATGTATGCATAGATGTCAAAGGTCGTTGGACAGTGACAGATGCATGTGGACTCTATAATTTAGGAGGTTCTGCCACACTCGGCGACGGTTCACACTGTTCGGCGACGGTTCACACTGCTCGGCGATGGTTCACACTGCTCGGCGATGGTTCACAACTACTCGGCAACTCATCACAGTGGTCGAACCATGAGTTTGACTGCTCGGCTTTGTTCGCACTTGCTCGGACAAGCTCAAGACGGTATTGCACAACGGATGCAAGGCGCTCGAGGACTAGCTGTGGGGTTACAACCTCGGATACCCACGGCAGATCACATGGGCTGTGCCCCTAGGGCGGCCCAGCCCACGAGACGAAGCCTTGCGGAGCACGACGTTGCTCGGCGTGTCTCACAAGACACCGGGAAGATATCCTGAAGATACTACGAGATCTGTTAGGATACGTATGATCCTATGATTTCTATAATCTGTTATTACTTTCCGGTTATCTCCTAGATCTAACTGACTTGTAACCCTACCTCCCAGACTATATAAGTCGGGCAGGGACCCCCTCCAAACACACGTAATATCATACGATAGCCAATACAATCCAACAGACCACACATGAGTAGGGTATTACGTCGTGCTGACGGCCCGAACCTGTCTAACTCGTATGTCTCTGTTGCATTCTTGTTCTCGATTACACGTATCCGTCGATCAATCTACCTTCGTGAAATACACCTCGGAGGACTGTCAACGATATTCTGTCGACAGTTATATAATTTGTTGTCAAAGATAATTTCATTTGTTGGTTTCCAAATAATCCAAATAGATATAGATATAAATATAAATATCATAATAATTTAGAGGCATAAATAAAAAAAAGCTATCACATTTTTAAAAATAAAATGAAATAAAAATAGAATATTCAAAAAAAAAAAAAACACCCATAAGCTCCCGACTTTCCGAGCGCCTCGCCGCCTGTTGCGTTCGCCCCTTCTTTTACCTTCTCCCATTCACGCCCCCGTCTGTCTCGTGGCCTTCCTTTCCTGGCGGCCACAACTGGGCGAGCGGCGCCGCCCTTCACCAGGTCTTCGTCGGGCCCATCGCCGGCGACGAGCACCCACCAGGTATGCCCGCCCCTTCGATTCCATTCCTCTGTGCGAAACGGAGCACCCCCAACCTTAACCTAAGCTTTTGGTTTCGGATCTGACCCCAAGTACGTGTATTGTGCCTGCTAACTTCGATTTAGAGGCAGCCATGTTGCTTGCTTTGCACTTCTAGTATTATTTAGTTTTCCCTGTTTGTAGCTTGTCGTGGGAATTTAATCGTGCCGAGATTAGGAACAGGCAAATGATCAAATTTACGAATGTGCATTTTGGATAAAATTTTGTATTGAAGGTATGTATTCCTTCTGTTGATTATCATTGTGGATGAAATTGTGAGGGGCATCTTAGAATGCTAGATTTATATTCTCTGAGGAAACAAACTTATTGCTTGAAATGTCCAGATTGAAGTAGTTTCATGGGAATTGGGAGGAACATTACTGTTTGCAGAACAAATTATTTATTCATATCCATTCGACTTGTCTCATCTAGGATGTTAGTTTTCAAATGCCTTCAACGTTGAAGAAAAAAATTGTGAAGTTGTTTTGTAATGATAAATAATTTATTGGGCAGAAACGTGGAGCTCAGAGTAGTGGTGCCTCTTTCCTCTTTCACCAAGGATTCTGGTGCCTCTTTTCACAAGGTTAGGCAAATTTCTTCTGCTGCTTCAGTTATTCTATGACCCTGTTTGGCAGTTTTCTAGCTCCAAGATTTCATGGAGTTGGGTATTCCTAGCTCCAGAAATTTGTGAATCTGGAGCTATGGGTACACGCACACCTGAATGGTTTTCTTTCTATTCTAGACAAAAAAAATAGAGTCTCAAGGTTCTTGATTCTAGTACAAACTCCAGATTTAAGGTGGACCTCGGAGCTGGACTGTGCCAAGCAGGGTGTATATGTCTTTCTAATTAATAATGTCATCAGCTGACCTGTCCTTTTTTTTCAGCGGGATGCTAAGCCTGGTCTAGCTACTAGATTATGAACTCTCTGCTGATCTAGCATTTCTACAAGAATTCTTTTGCTGGAAGGTTTATTAGTTATTTGCAACAATGAAGGAACATCTAATGCTCAATATTGATGACCTAAGCATTCCTGAGCCAAATGCGGTCACTGGGGCAGTCATCAAGAATAAATCATCTGGGGAAACCATTGCACATCCACCCTCCATGGCTCATGCCATTTTAGCAGTGGGAGAAAGCATGGTTTCTGAAGAGGAACCTCTTCTGCAGGTGGTGGAGTGTCGCATTTGTCAGGAGGAAGATAGTATTAAAAATCTAGAGAGTCCATGTGCTTGCACTGGCAGTCTAAAGGTTCGTGTTACTCCATTTGTCTTATTCATATATTGTGGATAGATCATTATACTTCATATCTAATTATTATCTGAACTGTCAAGTGTTTCTCCTTCTGTCCTATATATGCCCATACAACACTGTATTGCTTACAGAATTACTGCATTAGTCTCCCCCTAACTCAGGGCTATACCTGATTAGTCGCTCAGCTATACTGTACATTATGTCCTCAAATCCTCAATGGTACACTTCTGTTCTGCCATTAGTAAGTTGTGGATGGGAATCTTGTGGTGTTATACTCTTATATACCTTGCTTGGCGTATTCTCTTTCCCTCCTTAATTCATTTTGTGCATTGAGCATTGACAATTATTGTCTATTGATTAGGTCCCAGATTCAACAAATTAGATTGAATACTAATCTTATATAGTAGATGCTGTACCAAGAATCAAAACATATCACAGGCAATATCTAGGGACTAATGGACATGAGATTAGATCAAGATATTTTGTCAGCAGTGTATCTTTTTTTTTTTCTGAACATGCAGAAGACCTGCATGTCATTGCATTAAGAGAGAAGAATGTCCAAAATTGCCAAGTAGCAACCACCTCACACGACCACAACGACCGAAACAACCACCTTACACGGCCTTACGATCAAGACAACAACCTTACATGACCAAAGCAACCACTAAAAGATGCCCGCAAGGCAACACACGAAAACGACAATACTCAAACCGTGATGGGATTCAGATCCCAACGGATGTGGTGTCACAGCCACAATCCTGGGCTACCAACAAAGGTGCTACATATAGATGCTTCCAGGATCATTGAATCCCACCCATTTGTGATGCGAAACTCAACCATTGAATTCAAGCCCCAATCATCAATGGATTCAAGGTGAGACCATGAATCCAGCACCGAGGTGGTCAGTGGTCACACATGTTGGAGCCTCATCATTGGATGACAATTCAACAAGACCTTTTGTCTTTGGCGACAACGATGGGCAAGAAACCAAGATGATGGCGACCCAAGCCTGTGATAGAACATCCTTGCACTCCATTTTTTTTTGAACCGAGGATAACCCATTTCCATTGTATCAACAGAAATACAACAATATGGATATAGATGCGAGCAAAGATAGTTTAGATAGACATAAGTGTTAGAATTAATTTCTCCTTTACTGTAATCTCCTAGCTACCCGTGTAATCCCCTAGCTACTGCTTGCACCGCCAGTCAATTTGGCCCTTTCGGTATCTCTCCAATCTCTCTATATAAGTGTAAACCCTCTGTAATCTATTGATTAAGGAATACTAAGCCAGTTTGGCCTTCCTCTAATATGGTATCAGACTAATTACGTTCCCCTATTTTCCGCTCCACCTGCCGCTACCGACTCCTCAAGATCATCGCGCAAAGCGCGAGCGAGCCAGCGCCCGCTAGCATCTGCTCGCGCCCGCCCGCCATGGCCATGCGCCGCCCTTCCGGCGGCTCGTGCTCGGCGCATCATCCGCCATGGCCACCGCGACGAAGCTCCGTGATGAGGCCCTTGTCGCCGCCCAGAAGCTCGAGACCGAGGCTGCTTCTCTACGCACCACCAACGAGGAGCGCAGCCTGCAAATCCAAGCGGAGGTCGACCTCCTCAAGTCCGCCGCCCGCCGCCGCCGCGCCTTGAGCGAGTCCGCCACAGTGCCGCCTTGACAAGGAGCGCGCAGAAGTGACGCTCTTCGAGAGAAGAGCCGCCGCTTCTCCGGATCGCCGCATGACCGACTCGATTAGCGGCGACGACGACGCGTCCGCCTCTGTCACCTCCGAGGTCGCGGCCATCGCTTTCACCCGCTGCAGCCAGCAGCCGGGGTCCGAACATCAAGAATTTGATTCCAATCGTTTTGATCTCCGGTCATCCAATTATTCCAAATGGCGCGGCTACGCCCTCCTCTCCCCTCGGCCGCCGCCGAAGGACCACGTCCTCAACGATGTCTCCCGCCTCTACGATCCGGCGTGGGCTCGCATGGATTGCGTCGTCGTTTCCTGGATATTCAACACCATCTCCCCCGACCTCCTGGACGTCGTCCATGAACATGATGGCATCACCGCTCGGGCGGTGTGGCTAGGGATTGAACAGCAGTTCCTGAACAACCGCGAGTCCCGCGCCATGCTCCTCGACGCCGAAGTTCGCACCCTCTGCCAGGGCGCCCTCTCCATCGACAACTATTGCCGGAAGATGAAGACCATGGCGGATGCCCTTGCTGATCTTGGCAAGCCCGTTCTGGACCGTACCCTTGTACTGAACGTCCTGCGCGGCCTCAACGACCGTTTCAGTTCATGTCGCAGCTCGTCACTTCGATGAAGCCGTTGCCCTTCCTTTCTTTGATGTCCGGCTGATCTGCGCTGGCCGAAGCTCAACATGGCACCTCCTCGGGTCCCTCGTCGCCTCGTCGTCAAGCAAGACCCTACCCCCTGGCCCTCTGTTCGCCTCTCCCACGCCTCACCAGCAGCGAGGGGGCCTCATCCGCAAAGGTCATGGCGGGCGGCGCCGCCTTGTGGCGGGCGCTGAGAGGTAGCACGAGGGCGTTGCACATGGCGGCGGCGCAGCAGTGGCCCTCCCTCCTCAACCCGTGGACCGGGTCCATTCACATGTGGCCCGGCTCCACCCCTGGAGGTCCGCGCGGCCCCCACTCGCGGCCCCTCCGCCGCCACAAGACGCTCTGGCAGCCTACTACGCTCCTCCTCCGGCTCCTGGGGCATACTACCCGGCGCCGCCAGTAACCTCCCGGCTTGGTCGCCTGGACCCCTGAGTCCTCGCCCGCGCGCCAAGACACCGTCGCCCTCACTCCGCCGCCCAGCTCCTCTGAGTGGGTCTTCGACTCGGGCGCTTCCTCTCACATAGCCGGCAATCCTGGTATGGTCACCATGTCACCAACCTCCTCTTTTCCTTCCTCCATTGTTGTGGGCAATGGCGCCACCCTTCCGGTTGTTGGCACTGGCTACTCAAACCTCACTGGCCCATTTCGCCTCAACAATGTTCTCATTGCCCCTGACATCATTAAAAATCTTTTGTCAATTCGGCAATTCACCACTAATAATCTTGTCTCTGTTGAGTTTGACCCTCTCGGTGTTTCTGTGAAGGATCTCCGCACCAGGAACCTCCTCCTTCGCTGTGACAGCTCGGGACCCCTATACACCTTGCAGCTCCCGTCGTCACCATCCGGTTCCTGCGCTCTGGTGGCCACTCCTTCCTTAACTATTTGGCATCGTCGTCTCGGCCATCCCGGGAAGGCCACTCTTCAGACCCTTGCCAAGTCGTCCTCCATCATCTGCAGCCAGCCCAATGCTGACACCCTCTGCCATGCTTGTCAGCTTGGGCGCCATGTTCGCTTGCCTTTTACCAATTCCTTGTCGCGCGCAACTAAAAATTTCGACTTGATACATTGTGATTTGTGGACATCCCCGATCGTCAGTGTATCCGGTTTTAAATATTATTTAGTAATTATCGATGATTGCTCGCATTTTCTCTGGACTTTCCCTCTTAAGCTAAAGTCCGACACCTTTTCTGCTCTCTCGAATTTTTTCACCTTTGTGCTCACTCAGTTTGGTTGCACCATCAAGTCTGTGCAGTGTGACAACAGGCGTGAGTTTGACAACTCCTCGTCTCGCGCTTTCTTCTCTGCCAAAGGTGTCACCCTTCGCATGTCATGCCCCTACACCTCGCAGCAAAATGGCAAAGCCGAGCGCATGCTTCGCACCGTCAACAATGTCACTCGCACCTTGCTCTTCCAAGCATCCATGCCCCCCACCTACTGGGCCGATGCCCTTGCCACCGCCACCCTCCTCATCAATCGTCTCCCAACCAAGACCCTGAACATGAGCACTCCTTTTCTCGCTCTCCATGGCACTCTCCCCTCCTACCATGACCTTCGGGCTTTCGGGTGCACCTGCTACCCCAACCTCACTGCCACCACTCCTCACAAGCTCGCTCCACGATCTTCCTTGTGCGCCTTTATTGGCTATTCTCCTGACCACAAGGGCTACAGGTGCCTCGACCTCGCCACAAACCGCGTCATCATCTCCCGTCACGTTGTCTTCGACGAAACAACGTTCCCTTTCTCCCTTCGTCGACCTTCGCCACCCACACACGAGCTTGATTTTCTAACTAACGACGATTCTTCGTCAGTTTCGTTTCCACCTACAGGTACACCGGGGGCTGCTGGCACCCTGCCAGCACCTATGCCCTCCCAGCCGGTGCCCAACTTGGGCACACCGGCGTTCAGGCCGCCCCCGCCGGGCTTCTTCGTGCCCCGGCCGCCAGGCACCCTCCAGCCTTCTCCAGCTCGGTCTTTACATCGCCGCCATGGCGCGTACCGGCGCCCCTCGCGTCAGCCAGGCGCCATGGCGCCCAATGGCGCAGCCAAAGCGCCTCCGTTCACTTTCATGGCGCCGGCGCCCTCTCAGCATAAGTGCCCACGGCACCCTCTGTACAGGCGCCCATGGCGGCGCCTCCCATACAGCCGCCTCCGGCGCCCACCTTCGGCAAACCACCAGTCGTCCATGTCTACACCCGGTGTCCACCCGCCCCTAGCTCGCCACCTGAGTCCACTGTTGGACCACCTCCTCGACGCTCCAGCATGATTCCCTCCCCGCCTCGCTACATCAAGAGTGACCCTCCTCTTCCAACAGGAGCTATCTCCATCCCGCCGGTCGCCAACACTCATGGCATGGCGACCCATGGAAGTCGATGCATCGGATACCGCGCCGCTCGCACACTGCGAGGGCCTGTCACCACTACCAGCGCTCTGTCGTGGACGCCTCGCCAACCCTCATGGCGTCGAAAGCCATGGAAGACGAGTATGCTGCCCTACTGGACAACAACACTTGGAATCTCGTTCCCCGTCCTGCCAAGGCGAATGTGGTCACCGGCAAATGGATCTTCAAGCATAAGTTTCATGCGGATGGTTCCCTGGACAGATACAAGGCTCGCTGGGTGCTTCGCGGGTTCACCCAACGTCCCGGCATTAATTACGACGAGACGTTTAGCCCCGTCGTCAAGCCTGCTACCGTTCGTACTGTTCTCACCTTGGCTCACTCCCAAGACTGGCCAATCCATCAACTTGATGTGAAAAACGCCTTCCTTCACGGGACCTTGTCAAAAAAAGGTATCTTGCTCTCAACCCTTTGGATTTGCCGATCCCGCACTTCACGGACATGTATGCGAGGCTCAACAGATCCTCTATGGTCAAAGCAGCTCATGAGCATGGTACACAATTTGGTTTGCCTCTCCTTCCTGCTCTCTCTGGGTTTCAGTGAAGCACGATCAGACACATCTCTCTTTATACACCGCCGTGGCACTGAAACAATCTACTTGCTCCTCTATGTCGATGACATTGTTCTCACTGCCTCCTCCAAGCAGCTCTTACCGTGTGATTGGGCGCTCAAGAAAGAGTTTGCCATGAAGGACCTTGGCCCTCTTCATCATTTTCTTGGTGTGGCAGTTCAGCGCCACAGGGATCATCTCACTCTGTCACAGCGTCAGTACATCCTGGACATTCTTGCTCGCCATGGGATGAGCGACTGCAAGCCTTGTTCCACTCCTGTCGACACGTGTGCCAAAGTTCCTGCAGATGCCGGTCCTCCTGTTGCTGATCCCACAGCCTACCGCAGTCTTGCAGGTGCTCTTCACTACCTGACATTCACCCGGCCTGACATTGCGTACGCCGTTCAGCAAATCTGCCTTCACATGCATGATCCCCGGGAAGTTCATCTTGTGGCTGCCAAGCGGATCCTTCGGTACCTTCAGGGCACCCTCAGCTTCGGTCTGATCATTCCCCGGTCTGCTCCAACACAGCTTGTCGTGTACACTGATGCGGATTGGGCCGGTTGCCCTGTATTGATTAAGGAATACTAAGCCAGTTTGGCCTTCCTCTAATAATAAGTTTCAATCCTATGAAGTGGGATTGAAAAGTCTGCTTCAGACCTTCAACCCCGACATAGAAAGGAAAGTCAAGCAACAAACAATTTAAGGCTAATAAACTCGCTATTACACAGATCATAGACCATGATTCAAAAGACATAAGGCCAACTCCAGGCACATCAGCCACTACCACAAAAAATCCTCATATCACAGCTCGACTTCAAGCATTATCTTCCTCTTCATCCTGGCTCTTGTCGTCCTTAAGCTGGAGTTGTCCTCTGTTCTTGGAGTCAGCAAGTAACTTTGTCGCCACCTGAAGCATGATGTTAATGCCTTCAAACAAGCTTCTCCTGAGTCTTTGTTGGGTATAAACCTGTCCGGTAATTCATTAGATCATAGGCATAACATATTATTTTCAACGGGTTCTTGATCAATTTGTTCTCAAAGCAAGCTTTATTCCTAGTTTTCCAGATAGACCAACATATGGCAGCAATACCAAAAGTGTAGAACATAGCCCCATGGGGTAACCATTTCTTAATCTATAACCCACATTGGGTTAAATTGGAGGGAATATCAGAGGTGCCAATAACCTGAGCAACCACTGACCATACCACCTTAGCAATGGGACAATAGAACTAGAGAAGAATGAGAAATATATTCATCTTGCTCACAGAAATAACATTTTGGGTCACCTGATCAGTTTCTTTTGATCATGTTGTCCTTGGTGAGGCTGTGTTGTTCTTGATAAGCCACATAAAGATTTTTATTTTAGCAGGGACTTTCTTTCCAGATCAACTTATGATTAAAAGTTTAGAATCCACATCACCAGCTCTTAAAGCATTGTATAAAGATTTTACTGAGAACTTGCCACTTTTTTTTTCAAGTCTACAGGAGATAGTCTCCCTCCTGTAAAACAAAATTCCTGCTTGTGATTGAGTCTGGGATCAAACAGAGCTAAGTTCCCAAGGCAACTAACATCTAAAATTCAACTGAAAATCCTTCTAACTTGCGCCACTGATAAATCTTGCTCTTCACATAAACAGAAAAGAACAGGATATCTCTGAATCATTGGTTCACTGAAAGCAAGGGTTTCCAAAACTGGTTGTTTTTGCCATTTCTAATTTTTACTTTCCTACCCTGGAGATACAGCGATCTGACCTTGAGTAGGTCAGCCCAAACAGGACAATTATTATGATTGTGTGTTATCAGAGGAATAAGCTTCCCTTTTATATATTTGGATTGATAATGTCTTGCCAGATCCCAGTTTCCTGTTCTAATTTCCACCACCATTTAGCAAGAAGACTTAGATTTAACCTTCTGATATCTTTAATGCCCAATCCTCCTTTCTTTGTACCAGAACATACTTTTCTAGATACATAACTTTCGCATGCATTATTGCATTTAGATACACACTATGTCTAGATACATGGTAAAAACAATTGTATCTAGAAAAGCCAAAACGTCTTATAATTTGGAACTGAGGGAGTATTTTTTTTTCACACTCCCACCTTGCCAAAAGAAGGTTCTTCTTACTTTATGCATATCATTAATCACTGTTTTGTGAGGGAGATACATAGACATGTGATAAATGGGCGAGTTGGTCAAACTAGTATTTATCTTCTGTTTATTGTAGCGTGGAATGGCAATTCCAGCTCATGTAAAACGCCAGCTGCATCATGGACAGGCAGAATTGAAGGCGTAGCAGCAGCATCTAAAGGAACTGAAGATGGAGAATCAAGTGATGGGGGTGGCTCAGGGAGGAGCAACTTTTGACAGCCCCTCAACTGAGGACCTATTTGGGGACTCTTAGGTGACTGAGGCTGCTTGCAATGCCTAGCTTCGTGACCTTCCTGCTTACAGTGGAAGCAGTGAGATGCATTCTTGTAGTTCGCAGCATGAAGCATCGACCAATCAGATCAGTAGGCACCAAGCATGCACCTTGATGCTGAGATTTTGGTGGCAATGGAGAAGCGCGATGCTAGAGGATACACTTGTTGATGCGATGATCGGCGAGGAAGAGATAGTGATGGCGCTGAACTAGAATGTGATAGCCTATTCCTCGAGGAGGCCACCTCACCTCCCTGCACACTCTCAAAGGAATTGGTGCTGAGGGCGACAACCGATGTGGGAGGTCTGATACTAGTTGCCGCAGCGGTGGAGTGAGAGGTGACCAGCGAGCTGACAACCGATGGGGGAGTTGTCCCCGTGGTGGTGGAGAGGGTGGTGACCAGCAGCGTGGAGTCCAGTGACCACCTCACCTCCCTGCACACACCCTCATCTTCATGGATGGTGTGGGCATCGACTGATGTTGGAGGTCCGCTGCCAATACCAACAGCGGTGGAGAGGTATATGACTGTCTTGGTGGTTACTGACGAGGGGGAGCGGCAGCTTGTCCCCACGGTGATGGAGAGGGAGGCAACCAGTGGCGATCTCTTGAGCACCAGCGGCATCTGATTCAGCTGGTTGGGGAGTGGCGACCAGAGGAGATGTAGGGGCATGGGAGATGGAATTGGTGGAGGACTGTGTGAAGTGAAAGGGGAGAGGCGTGGAGGAGGTTTCGCTGGTGGATCAATTGCCGGAGCTGCGATGTCGGCGGCGGTAGCGGGGGAAACCCTAGACAGGTTGCCCCCACGTCGCTGCATGGGACCGAGTGACCATCCCACACACAGCTCGTTTCAGTATCAGCACAAAATGAGTCCAACATTATATGTACAATTTCATAATTTTATCAACTGAAGATAATAGTTGCCCGTTCCGGAGTGAAATGTGTGCTATTTCAACGCATCAAGATATCACAATCTTTCATCCAGCAATTTGCCAATATTGCACTTTGCGTAAACCCACTAGCCATGGAATAAAAAACTGCTTGTTATGGAAGACAGGGTCAACTTTACAATATGTTATTAGCATTTTAATTTAAGACAGCCTAAAAATACCCAAACATTTTGGTATAAAACTTAAATATAATTTCCCTATTATCATAGTACCCAAACATTTTAATTTGAAGGGCAGGCCTGGTGCAGTGGTGAGAGCTGTCTCACTGAGTCATCAGGTCGTGGGTTCGAAGCAGCCTCTCCGCAGATTTTGCGGGGGAAAGGCTTGTCTCGGTTTATCCCTTCCCTAGACCCCACTCATGTGGGAGCCTCCGGCACTGGGTCTGCCCTTTATCATAGTACCTTATCTCGAGTTGTGGGCAGTACTTGGTTGGATAAAGCTAATTTTATGATATGACTAACTGTGATTTTGTAACAAGTATGTGGGATAGACTGGATTTGAAGTTACCAGGATAATTCGATCTGTGAACCGCCTCCCAATAATTTTGGCCGTACCTTTTCTTACATCTAGCTGAATAGGTTTAAACTTTGAGTTGGTTGTTTTTGTCACGCTTCCCTGATTTGTCAGACAATAATATGTTAAATAGATGTACCATGATTTTTTTATGCGATTACTTTTAAGAGCGTTTTCTGTATTCTCTAACTTGCTTTTAGTTTTTGCTATGCAGTATGCTCATCGGGCATGTGTACAACGATGGTGCAATGAGAAAGGAGATGTAACATGTGAAATATGTCATGAGGTGATTTAAGTTATGAACAACTAATTGTTATGCCATTTTCACGGATGTCATTTAATACTAAATTGTGTTGAAAAATACTATCTGCAGCCTTATGAACATGGGTACACTGCACCTCCGAGAGCTCATCCTGATGAAACTACCATTGATATAACGTAGGGCATAATGCCCTTTTTATTCTTAAGTTGTTCTATACTCATGTAATAAATTTTCTTCTAACTGTTTGTCATCACCTCTCATTTCTCCGTGGTTCCTAGTGGTGGGTGGACTATTACTGGTACTGCATTTGACTTGCGTGATCCTAGGATACTTGCAGTGGCACAAAACCACATCATGGAAGCTGAATATGATGATTATTCTGCCACAAATGCCAGCACTGCTGCCTTTTGCCGCTCTGCTGCTCTTGTTGTGAGTAACTACAAAACAGATGTATTTATATTGTTGCCACTTAAAACAACAGGGTTTTCTTATTTATATGTAACATCCAATTTACCCTTTTTTTATGTTCAGTTAATGGCTCTCTTATTGTTGAGACACGCACTGACTCTAACTGATGAAGATGACGACGACACTTCAGCAATGTTTTCAGTAAGTGAAATAATCATCTTGAAAATATATACAGTTCATATCATATATTAACATTTGGTATTTTGATGGTTTGCAATTGATAGCTTTTTCTATTGCGTGCTGCTGGTTTCCTGCTACCATTCTACATTATGGCTTGGGCAATTAGTATCTTACAGCACCGCAGGCAGAGACAGGTCAGTTACAATTTCTAAAGTGAATATCTGCATCTTCCTTTTCTTATTTTTTAGAAGGTTTTGGGAACACCTAACATATTCCTTGCCATACTCTAAATGCATTGAAATTGAGTTGACATTTAATACCCCCTCCATTCCAAATACATTGCTTTTATTATGCATCTAGACATAGTGTATATCTAAATACATAGCAAAAAATATGTATCTAGAAAAGTCAAAACGTCTTATAATTTGGAATAGAGTACTTTACTAGTTGTTTGAATTTGACTTGTCACTTGTCATGCACATCATGAAAATCAAGATCAGGAACTAAGCTATGCAACCTAATCAGTCTTTACTACTCCCTCCGTTCTAAATTATAAGTCGTTTTGACTTTTTTGGTTCATCTATTTTGCTATGTATCTTGACATATTATTATATCTTGATGCATAGCAAAATGGATGTACCAAAAAAGTCAAAGCGACTTATAATTTGGAACGGAGGGAGTACTGATTATAATTGACTAAACATGGTTGAAATTGAAACTGACAGTTGTGACCTGTGCGACCAAAAAATTGGTAAACTGATTTGATGAAAATTCAGTTTTAGAATGAAAATCTGCATCGCCTTTTGTGCTTCCTTGTTAATTTGGCTATTTGCTGCATCCAGTGCAGCTCTAGGGCCTTCTGTAAATCCCTAATTGCCTATTGTGTCTGTCCAGGAGGCAGCTGCTCTTGCTGCAACGGAGGTGGCATTCATCCTGCAGTCGGGGCAAGGAAGGGGAGTGCACTTCACCATCGCACCAGACTCCCCGGCCACACCACAGCATGAACCACCGCAGCCATAATTATATCTATCTATGGAGTGGCTGGCTGCGGCAGCGGGCCGCAGATCGCTTATTTCGATAGGTTCCCCAAGGATTTCTTTATGGCTGCTGTCTAGTGCAGAACCAGATAATTTCTGCCCAAGTTTCCTGTCATCAATGTACTTGAGTGTGAAGATGCGTGTTCTGCGAGTTGGCCAGTGCATTTTGCATGTCGGCCCGGGAGTAATGGGGTGTGTGTGTATATAACTTAACAGACATCTGGGTTGTATGATCTACACAATTGTCCAAAATTGAATTCTGATCGCCTGAATTGTCAAAATTTTATAAAGTCTGTTTGAGGTGGTGTCTGAAAGTCAGCCAGAGCTGCCCATCTAGGAGAGCGGAACATGGTGGATCGGGAGAAGAATGTAGCAAGGTAAAACATGTCGCGCGCGCTATAAAATACAATATTGTTTTTGTTCACACAATGTTCCCTCCGCTTGATCCTCGGCCCCATACGGCCTATGAGCGGTCGTCTTCAACTTCTGGCCGTCAGGCGGCAAGGAACCACCGATGGTGATGGCGAGTGAGCAAGGCAACAAGGTGGCAGGACGTTGGCTATTGGTGACGAAGTTCGGGGCGTCATTGGAGAAACCAGGCAGAGAGCTTGAAGGTGATTGATGTGAGAAACGAGACGAAGACGTAGGCCACATCGTGTTCGTGTAGAACGAAGCGGAAAACTTGCATTCGATCTGTAGCCAACAGTGTTTTTCTTCCTCGTTATAGTTATTGCGACTTGTGCATCAAGTACTATGCAAAGAAAGTAGAACTGAAAGCATGGTCACGAGATGCCATTCTCACATTTGCATTTTGCAGGGAATTAGGTCCGAAAGGTACCATTGCATATGTAGTTGGATGGGGAACATAGCAACTTTACAGGCTGTTTCATGTTTTCTTTTTACCTCACCATGATTTTGCTTAAGTAAAGGCTCAGTCAAAATCCGGGGAGCATTCAACATCATCCCCTTCACGTGCCTGACCGAAGGAACTGTAAGCCAGGTGATCACCCTTCTTCACCTTGCCACTCAGAATGCTCTCCATGTCCTTGTCATCATGCTGCAGCCGTCCGGTTACCTCCAGGCACAGACCATTCTTGGCACGTCTCTTGCTCTGTTTTGCTCGGTCGGTTTTTGGCTTAACTGGACCTGTTTCGACAAACACCGGTTGCTCTCTGATTGTGGGGTTGGGCTGTATGCGGTGGCTCTGATCCTTCTCTTCAGACGGTCGCATGATCGGGTGCTCTGTTTCCAGCTCAGTAGTTCCATCCTTGTTCAAAATCACCTGAAAAAAATATTTTCAAATTACGTCTACATCCAAATGTTCTGCCAGAGCTTCTAGACAAAAATTCAACTAAGCACAGATATTTTGAGGTTAGGTTGGAAGAAAACAGAGGTTGCAAAGTACTGCTGTCCAGCAGGAACAACTAGTTACCTTACGGCCCACCAAATCAAATGTAACAATCACTTTCTCCTTTTGGCTTTTAGCTGCTTCCTCAGCTTCCTCTTGCTGCTGCTTTAGGACTGACCTCTCCTGGAGTGTGAAAAATGGGTAGCTACAGTTAGCATTTTTGAATGTATCTCAAATGGGACATGTCTATATCTAAAAAAACGCACAATAACTTCTTGTCTTGTCCTTGAAGTTACATGTTCTTACATTTTTTTTAGGGAGAACAAGTATGAGTTCGCTATGGAAACAAAGCTAGCTCTGGAAATCATTAAAACTAACTAGAAGGAATACTCTGCCATTATAAATCTTATAATAAAGTAATTCTCATATCAGGATTCGATGTACTTCGCGCATAATATATCAAGCTCTAGGTATGAAATGTCCGTAGGCGTTAAGGCTTAGCATAGACATAACAAAGAAAAAAAAAATCAATGGGTGGAGGCGTGGAGCAGAATATGAGCATGTATGATCCACAAGGGATGGAATAGAACTATCAAGTACAGAGAATCGAATGTGGCTTACCTTTGAAGACAGCCAACTGTTTCCTTCCATTTCATAATAGTCACTTTGGTCATCATAAACTTTAGTCCTTGCTGCAGCATTTCTATCATAGTCAACAAGCCTCTTTGCATAAGCTTCAGCTGCAGCTTCTGCTTCTGAAAGAGGTAGCCCGGCATCACTTAAACCAGCATAAGTGCTACCTTCCTTCAAGACAAGTGCACCACAGAAACTACAGGGTCCCTCGCCCTCTTGTTCGCACACAATCTTGCCACATGATAAGCAGTTGCTGACAAGGTTATGTTGTCGTGCTTGGCATGAACAAGGTTTCCCCTGCTTGAAGACAATAGAACCTTTTGCTGCCTCAGCGAGGGAAATAGCCTTTGCTCCTTTCTTTTTTGAACCTCTCTTGGAAGGAAGTTGTGATTCTGCAGTTTCTGATTGACTCTTGGAACTCTGACTAGAAGAAGATGCTGAATCTTTTTGCGTGCGTGTTTGTTTCTTTGTCTGTGTAGTTGCTGCATCAGCCGATGGCTTAACATAAGGCTGAAGGTTAGATGATTGAAAGCTCTCAGTTCCATTTGAGGAACCAATGTGACCCCTCCTCCTCAAGTACTCTTGAATGATGTCCTGAGCAGCTTCTTTTCCAATAAAATTCTGCACCATTAAAAAGTACAAACGATGATAAATGTTTATGTCAACTAAGCTACAGTGGTCTCAACATTTGTGCCTGATGTAAATATGACGTGACAAGAAAACAAGTGGTACAAAACACATACAACAAAACAAAAGAATTAATGCAAGGAGAGACTGAGCAACATCGGTACTAATGAAGTAATGCAAACTGGCCAACTGAGGAACTTAGTTTCAAGAAAAAGATAAATGTCTGCTCAATTATTTGCCAACCTAAGGAACAGGGGGGCCTTGGCATCCAGAACCTAGAAATCCAAAATAAATGTCTGCTCAGTAAATGGTTGTTCAAGCTTTTGAATGAAGATGGTATTTGGCAAGAACTTATTAGAAACAAGTATATTAAAAATAAGACTTTATCTCAAGTGACTAAGAAACCGGGGGACTCTCACTTCTGGATGGGTCTTATGGGGGTAAAAGAGCAGTTTCTGAGATTAGGAAGATTCAAGGTCTCGGATTGCTCTCAAATCAGGTTTTGGGAGGATCGTTGGCTAGGGGGAGCTCCTTTGAAAGAGGTTTATCCATCCCTATACAATATTGCCCGTAGGAAGCAGTCTACAGTTGCTGAGGTTCTACGATCGGTACCAATTAACATCACCTTCAGAAGAGCGTTAGTGGGAAACAAGTTGTTGGATTGGCAAGACCTAATTGGTAGGATTGCGAGTATTAATTTACAGGATGGCAGGGACTCCTTTTGCTGGGACTTGCATTCTAGTGGAATGTTCTCAGTCAAATCCATGTATGCGTACCTAATAAACAATGGCCTCAAAGTCTCTCAGGACATTTGGCGTCTTAGAATTCCATTAAAAGTTAAGATCTTTATATGGTTTCTAAGGAGAGGGGTAATTCTAACAAAGGATAATTTAGCTAAACGAAATTGGAGGGGAAACCGAAATTGTTGTTATTGCTCTAAACTAGAGAGTATTCAACATTTGTTTTTCAATTGTGTGATGGCCAAGGCCTTGTGGCGTGCTATCCATATGGTGCTTGGTTTAAAACCACCAACGAGTACACGAAATATTTTTGGTGCTTGGCACAAACAAAGTGGGAGAGAATTTAGAAGCTTGTTGCTTATAGGAGCTGCTGCATTTTGCTGGTCGCTTTGGCTTACAAGAAATGAATTGGTATTTGACAAATGCAGTCCAAAATCTATTTTGCAGGTCGTGTTCAGAGCTACACACTGGCTGCGGCAGTGGGGGCTGTTACAAAGGAGTGAAGACATGAAGAAGTTTATTGTCCAAGGATGCCAGAAGCTAGAGACTGCGGCTCTGCAGTGCTCTGCTTTCTTCAGATGGCCTTATGCTCTTAGACTTAGTGCTTAGTTTTTGGTTAAAAACTGATTTTGTGCTGCCGTCGATGTTTTGGTCAGCTGGTATGTTGATGTTCTTCTGTATTGAACTCGTGGCCTGATTCCTTCTCGAAGGAAGAAGCCGGTTGTTTAATCTACCATTATCTAAAAAGAAAAAGATAAATGAGAAAGAAAGGGGAAAAAAATGCTAAGGGCACAAATTAACATGGCCTCATGGGTATTTGGGCTGAGCGTGTGTAGTAGTAGTTCACCCTTTCAACTTCGAGATGAACGTAAAGAGACATATAACATATTACACTGAGAAACATGTTGATTTTGAAGAGAATAATAATACACACGTGCCAATCAGAGAAATGACAAACAGCACATGATTTTGCATCAGCATGAGAAGGCAATGGAAAAATGGCAGTGGAAATAGTAATCTACCTCCATATCAAGCCTTAAAGAAACCAGATAGTTTTGACCAAAATTCACAATGAGTAACAGACCATGATCAACATCTCGTTATGCCCTGGACACTACATGACACCCAATGGCGCTTACAATACTGCATTAGGATATATAAATTTCACTCATGACGGGACATTTAATTGATGCACTTGAATTTTGTACCCATTATAGAAAATTAGACTCCCAGTAACATGAAGCTGAGGCACTTCAGATCAATCAATCAACTCAAACCCCACCAGCACAGCAGTCTGGGAGGGATGCAGCGCAGCAAACATCCTAGACAATCACAATAAACTGGCGATCATGCTATTTAAAACTACTTTTTTCTTCAGCAAGCTCAAATCAAGCAAACCCTAATCCGAGAACGACATAGTACCGGCGATCCGATCAGGCCGTTGCGCCAGGTACGAGCACTCTAGACAAACTCCGATCAGAATGACCACGCCAGAGTAGTAAGCGCCCAATACACAAGCCGTCCTAATGGATGGACACTGGCGAACGAACCTCGAGATAGTTGGTGGCGTCGGAGGGAGGCGCGAGCTCGCAGAAGGACACGAGGCCCGAGATGAGATCCGAGTCGAACTCCAGCGAGCTGCCCTTACGTTCCCGAAGTCCCTGCAGGGCGCCCTTCAGCCACTCGCCGGACGTGCTCGCTGACGTCGCCATCGCCGCCGCCGCCAACACGAGGGCCGGGCAAGAAGGGTTAACTTCTTTTTTGCTATTCGGACTCTCGATCTATAGGATATTACACGAATAGCCTTTACAACTTCTATTTTTCACCTTGTAATGTGCGTGATTTTCGAAAGACTCCTCAATCTTATCCCCGCAAAGCCGCGAGATAGACTTCACCGTGCGTGGTACGCGGCTTCTCTTCACCTCGGTGAGCACAGCAGAGAGAGCAGAAGGCATGTTTCCGATGGCGTCGTCGTCGCCGCCGCTCTCACTTATCCTCCTCCGGCCGCTCCCGTGCAGACCCGTCCTCCTCTCGAGGCAAAGGAAACCATCCCCAACTGTCCGCGTAGAAGCAAGGTCTGAGCAGCGGTTGCAGCGGCGGCCGGTGACCGGCCGGTGGAGGAGGAGCTGGAGGAGGGGCGGAGGCTTCGCGTGTTTCTCCAACAATGCCAAGAACAAGACGCCCTCGCCTTCAGATAAGGTGATGCTCAAACGTTCCATTTCTTTATAACCTCCTGAATTGAACACACAACAAGTACATGCTCCGGTAGTAAATAACAAAGCAGGGAATTATGGATGCAGAATGTTAAGTGCATAATTTAGCTTCCGGAACTAGCTTGGAAAATATATTGTTTAAATGGATGCACCAGAGTAAGCGTTCAGGAATCCATATAAGACTATAAGAGCAATGTGTGTAGTTGAATCTTGGACATTTCTGGAGTTTAAATGCATTTCGCCTATTCCAACTTTCATCCTGTTTTTGTGGTGATTGGCGTGGATCTTGTGACATTATCTGGGCCTAAGCAGAGTTCGGACGAGTGGGCGATCGTTCGACGATGGGATGTGCCATGGGAGTGGCAAACCGTTGTGCTCAGCATGGTAGGCTGTGGAGTAAGGTAAGCCATCACCTTTGCACACCAGGTATTTGAATTTTATGTTGTATACAGTGAGCTTCGCAAGTTTGATTTTACTGTACAGGTGTATTGAATAAAGCATTCTGAGTGTTCTTTAGACAGCTTTGTTCTGACAGGATTGGTTGAGCAATCGGCTTTGCAATACCTGGGATTTAAAGCTGTGGAGGCAACTATAGATGAGAAGGCAGAAATACTCTTTTTTGGGCAACTGTATGATACATGTTTTTATGCTTATGTGCACGATACCTTTAAATTCCCTTGATGGCAAGCTGATTATCTTCCACCAATAAATGACATCACAAATTGCCAAAAGACTTACATTTTGCTTTTGTACTGTTCTGTGCAGGAGCGTGACAGTAGTAGTGCTTGGCGTTATATTTGGCATCACCAACACTTTTCGACCATTCCCAGATGATGTGTTTCGTTATGGTCAGGACTCAGTCTTGTTACCTTGGTCACTGAATAAAGTTGTTTTCATGCAAGTAGAGAACCATTTTTTATCATGGAAGCTATTTTGTCAGGTGGAAAGTATAGTGTGATATTTTTATGGAACATGAATTGCTTTCTAAATTGTAATTAACAGTCTACATTTATTCTCTTTTTCATGGGTGATGCTTCTCAAAGTTTAATACCTGACGAATAGTTGCTTTTATAACATCTTTATCCAAGAATACAATTATATTTATACAAGAATGTTGTTGAACTTTCAGATATTAATGAACCATTCAAGCTGCAGAATGGATGGCTTTTGTGGGCTGGAGTTGGCCTCTTTGGGGCAATAATTTCTATTGCTTTAGCCGGAGCTGCTATGACTTATCTGAATGGTGAAACTCCGGAGAGAGAGGTCAGACAAATATTTGCTTTAGCAACTAGACCTTTCTGGTGCACTGCCATTTGTTGGTTATTATTTCTCACACTTTATTTGCCACCTCAATTCCATTCCAAACTCTTTGTCATTCAATTTATTTAGAACAAAAATAAGTTATGTGTTGAATCACACATTTTTTCATATTTTGTTTGACTTCTTAGTGTATGTGGAACGTTCAGTTCTTCTTGTAATTCATTAGTTTTTTGAGGCATTGTGATTTACTATTATGTACTCATGAAAATGTTCCTTTCATTGACTCAGACTGATTCACTAGTCCTTTTGTTGCCCCTGATTGGCTCATCCACTACCAGGTATCATGTGTCCTGCCTTTGTGTTTTAGTGGATTAATGCCTGTTACCAGGAAACCCAAACTTGATCTTGTTTATTTTCTGTTGCTAGCACTGCATTTTTGGTGGGAATCACTGGAGTTCTAGCACCACTCCTCGAGGAGACTCTGTTTCGAGGATTTCTAATGGTGTCCTTGACTAAGTGGTAAATCCAAGTATATTGCCCTAGCACTTTCTTTTCTCTTCCTTGCATGTACAAACTTGGTGCATTACAAGTTTGCATGTTTCTGTATTCACCAGTTACCTCTGGGTACAGGTTTCCTACTCCAGTTTGTGTACTTGTCAGTGCTGCTGTATTTGCCCTTGCTCATCTGACTCCTGGACAATTTCCACAGCTGTTTATACTTGGTAATTCTCTATAGTTTATTCAGATATAACTAAATAGAAAACTATATGAATTCAATATTTGTTAAGGGTGCATTAGGGCACCCACAATGCAGAAACCATCATAGTTTTTATGTGCATTAATTACTCTGCCACCTAAGCATTTTGATGTTGTGGCAAGTGATTTAATGAGGAGAGAGAGGAGGAAATGGTCTTAATAAGAAACTATGTCTACACAGGAACCAATACATGAAGAGATGTGATAGGTAGATGAGGGAGAAAGAAGACGTGATTGGAGAAAAGATTATTCTGTAGAAACTATCCATTTGGAACATAGTTTCTATGTATAGTGTCTACGTAAATTAATAGACAGAGAAACTATATGTGGTTTCTAGCATTGGGACTGCCCTTAGTTGGTAGCCAATTTGGCCATATCCAAATGCACAACACAGCATTTGTCTTGTTACATCATTTTGGGCTTTTTTCGATGTGTCATAATTGTGACCTTTTCACTGAAGAAAGAAGTTAAAATCTTCCTCAAATATATGACAGTCAGAGCTGCAAATTGTGGGCAAAAATACCACAGGCAGGCACAATGCCTAAATGCAGTTAAACCTGACATCCACAAAACCATACAGAATCACAACCATTGTCATATCCAATACATTGTCAATTACAGGAATTGCTAATTTGGTCATATAAGTTTTTGCCATGCCATCGTTTGTGCGCATGTCATATGTATGGCCTGTTTTTAGAAGAAAGGAGTTAAAATTTGCTGCACGGATACTGAGATATGACAGCCATGGCTGCAAATTGTAGCCAAGGGGTTACAACCAGACAGTTACAATACAACATTTGCATATACAACCGGTTGTAATTACTGGAGTTGCTATTCTATTTGTATCAATGTTTGGCATGCCATCGTCATTCAGTAACCTAGTTGAGTATTATGCAGGTGTTGCATTGGGGTTTTCATATGCTCAGACCCGCAATCTTCTAACTCCGATCACAATACATGCATTTTGGAACTCAGGAGTAATACTTCTGCTAACCTTTCTTCAGGTAGGTCTTGTCAATCTCTATGTGGCTACCAGTAACTTTCCTGGTGAAAATTCTCGAAATTATAAGTTGGCTAACATGCATAGAATTGCGCAAGAGTAGGAACATCTAGTTTCTGTTTTGAGTAGTAAGAGGTAAGCAATTCACAGTGTTTTTTCGACTGTTTTAGCTGCAAGGATATGATATCAAGGAGCTCTTGGGAGCATCGTGAAGGTTTGAACAAACCAGGCACATTTTGTGCATAATATGATATCAAGGATATCTGTTGGTTATGTGCTCTTGCACACCTGATGGCAGCAAAACCACGTGAAAAAGAAATATGAGTCTTCAAGTTAGCTGATGCTTGCGTTCCCAGAAGTGTTACGAGGCATCACTAGTCTGTAAAGCTGTTTATACAGTATAAGATGGCAGGTTGACCTTAATGTAAGAACACAGCTGCCCTTTTTGAGAGTGTTTCTTACAACTGGAGTACTCAATTAAATTGTACTGATATTGTTTATTAAAGAAAGGTGTAATGACAATTGACATCATGTTTTATGTGTACAAGTATGTGTGACGGAATCATTTATCCTCGCATATCTGGCTTTCTATAGTGTAGATAAGATACCATTAGGAAACAATAAAATAAAATAAAAATCGATAAATATACTTATCTGCTTTGTGTTGTGTTAGATGGGCGTATGCACAAGCTACTGGTTTGTGCATCGAATCAATAGAAAATATTTGAATGGCAAGATCCCTAGAATTACTCTAAAGTTTTATCATTGTTTATTAAACTTTTTCATATTTTTGCCACTCTTGATGTGTAACGAATTTTAACTTCACAAGTCAAATGTGAGTTTCACAAAGGAAATCTACAGTCATTTTTTACCACAATTTGATCGACAGACGGAAACGTCCAGGAATTGCAGTATATAGTATACTCCACTAACCCCCAAGAGCGTATCAGTTCTGCTAAGAGTAGTGGTTTTTTTTCCCTGTATAAGAGAGCCAATGCGAAGTGCTGCCTAACATGGGGACAGTCGGACAGGGCTCTAGCGTCTACTACCTCCAATCTCAATATAGGTCTGATTAGTTTCTTACAGAGGTCACTAGCATGGCTATGAACATGGTGGAACTGAGGATTTTTCGCTGTTTTTTCCTTGGATCATCTGTGTGAATGGAGGGGGCCGCAATAACGACATCAAGATCCGTTGATTGTTAATTGTTCTCTTCTTGATACATGATTGATCTGCAGTCTGGTTTTGGTTGTCCTATCTAGTAATTTCATTCAAGGAACAAATGAAGTTAGGCGTCGCTTTCTGGCCAGTCCATTTCCATCTTGTTACAGTCATGACAAGATGCATGTAGGATCTGTAATTGCCGTGAATTGTGAGATGCAAGGTCAGTATGTGTAAATGGGCAAAGAAATGAAATGATAGGGAAGTATGAAGCCTGCTCCCTTGTCGGATGGACTAGATAGTAACCATGTTGTAGTTTCTTGTGAATGTATCTGAGTTATTATCAGGGTCACCATGTAAACGAGATGGAAGCCACACATTTCATCAGAAATATTTCTTTCAAAAAAAAAATCATCAGAGATACGATGCCGAGAAACTTATATGGACAAAATAAAGTCCCCAGACCCCTGCTGCACACCGTGCACAGCACAGGAAAGGTGAGATGTAGCATGTGTGAATGTGTCTATTTGTTGCCTTGTTGGATTTCAGTTTTCAGATATTCAACGAATGTCATTGACTAGTTCCTAATAGATGCATTTCAATTTGAAATATTTCATACTGTAGGGGGCACAGGAGCTTCCGATATGAAATATTGAGTGGGATTTGTTTGCATCGGTTGAAGATAAAAGAAAATTCTAAAGCGCTTTCAAGGGTTAAGAAATCGTATGATAAATTTGTCTTGCGACGGCATGAGGAATGAATGGTGCGTATTGTATTCGTTCATCTCAATTCGTAATGCTATTTTGTTTTGTGAAGAACTATAACATTGTATTCTTATGTAGAACTATAACATTTTTATCTAAAATGGTATATGTTTTGCTTGAGCACTTTGAATTGATATCATCAATTGTGCTCTTTGTTATATCTATTAATGTACGGCTAGTAAGATTTTTAGCCTTAAATTATTTAGCCTCCTCCTTGTCCTGTTTCTGTATTTAAAAGAAACTCGATCCACAATGCCGGTACTTAAATGCTGTTCGTGCATAATTCTCTTGACAGCAGATTAGAAGGCGATGAGCCCATGAATCACATAAAACTAAACATTTGAAACTAATCGTACGTATTAGCTTCACACTCAGCTGGTGTGAGCTGGTAAATTAGAAATCTAGATTAGGAGTATATTTAATCAAACAGTAGCGTATATGACATCAGAAGCACAGGTACATTGCACATATGTTCTATATTACAATAATAAAGCAATGAGCGACATAGAGGTGCATGCAAATTATGACGGCAGACAAAGCTCATATGTACACCCCACTATATATAAACAAATCTATTAGACAAGCAGTTTCACACAGGGCATGCAAGGTTGCTAGACATACTGAAAGCAAGCACACATATATATTGCCGCAATCTCCTCTGTCGTCCTAGAGTAGCTCTTGATACCTTCACCACGTACCGAATAACATGGATGTCTTCATCTGAGGTAGCTCTTGATGACGAAGCGCTCGTGGACGAAGGTGAAAGCTGGAGGCAGGCTGGGCTTGTATATACTGCGGTGGTGGTGCGCACCGTCACCTTGGTCGTCCCAGAGTAGCTTCGCCCACCAGGCCTGCTCCCCACTCACCTTCACGGCCTTGTCTGGTTGTTGGTGGAGGCGAGGGAGACGACGCAAGCTCCAGCACCCATGGACCTGGAACTCCTCCCACTTGGGCGCGGTGAGGATGGCGTCGCCGACGTAGAGATGCTCCAGCAGTGGCAACTCGTGGAGGCGTATCTTTTGGAGGCAAGGGAGCTGGTAGTGACGAGGAGAAGAATGATGGCCATTGTTGTAAAATATTGCCTTCAGGTTGTAGCAGAAGAGGATGTCAAGCGTCACGAGGCTTGGCAGCTCACAGTCTCTTGGCATGAAGCCCTCCAACCTCGGGCAGTGCTCCAGACGGACGTTCTTGAGTGCACGGAAGGTAGCACCACTGCCAGATGGCCTGTAGAAATGGGTGAGACTTTTGATATAGGAGACCCATGCATTCTTCAGATTGTTCCCTAGATATGTCGCCACCTCAAATACATTCACCATGCGATGGCACCACACCTGAGCTGGCATTCCTCCAGATCATCGAAATTACTCAGGTGGTCGCTGAGGCAGGTGACGTGAGTATCATCCATCATGCAGACCGACTTGGTGACCTCTAGAAGATGTGTTAGACCAGCGGGATACCGATCCACTGCTGAGATCTCCACATGACGCTCGGTCACTCGGAAGGGAAGCATGTCATCCATTGACACCATAGAGACTCCCCCTGTTAGATACTGATGGTTTACATCAGCATAGGTTGACTCAGATACCTGAAGCATGTTGTTGGTCACCATGTCATCTTCGTCATTGGTCTTCATAAATCTGGCCTTACATGATTTAACTTGAATGTAGAAAGACTTGAAAAGTTGTCCACTCCTTACTAAATTCACAGTGCTCTTGTTGAACCTATAAAACAATCTGGAATCGTTGGTGCTCACCACCTGAGCAACTTGTGGACTGGAATGAACTCCATTTCCCTCCAAGCTCTGATCCAAGCAAAACATATCTGGGAGTCGCTTCAGATCATGCCAAGGAAAGCGCCTTAGAGCAGGAACACCTATGAGAAGCAATCGTCCAAGCCGGGGTAGATTAAGGATGTCGATTGGGATCTCCTTGATACCTGTAGCAGAAAGATCAAGCTCCTCTAAAGCATCAAGCTCCTTGAGATTGTCCACAGACTCCAGCTTTCTACATCCATTAAAGGACAATCTCCTTATATAGGGTGCGGCAACCAATGAGAATGATCTCAGGGTAGGATGCCCTTCTAGTTTTAGCTCTTCCTCAGTTCGAAACTTGCAATTGTTAATTAGCTCAAATGATAGGAGCTCCTTCATGTTGTTAAACATCTCCCAGTAATGGAAAGATTTTATCCGAGTCCTTGTGAGCTTGAGTGTTGTTAGGCTAGACAGCTTAGCAATGGAGGGCGGCAACTCCACAAGGTCGGAGCAACCGACAAGCAAGTGCTCTTGTAGATTGGGCATGTTATGGAAGAAGTCGCTATCAAAAGTTTCTACATTTGAGTAGGAGAGATCTAGGTAGAGCAAGTTAATCCTATTGTTGCTATTTTTTTCCTGGGAGAGTAGTTCTTTTGGTACATGGGAAGCTGAATGGATTTGTGAGTTTACGGCATCCCTTGAGGAAAAGCAACTGGAGTTTTTGGAGATAGCAGACTGAAGGAGGGAGTGATTCTACTTCAGTATATGAGAGATCAAGAACATGAAGATCAAGGAGCTTGGGCAAGTACAGTTGATCAAGCAGTGGAAAAAAGCTTGGTAAGCAACGCCTTATAATAAGTGTGGTTGGGCCCCGAGGCCCGTGGCTCAACCTTTTTCTGCTTATTTGCCACACTCGGCTGTCCACATGTGAGATCCACCTGATGGGCTCCAACGTAGGATGCAGGAAATACCGAGGTTCGTCTTTAGCTAGTGGCTCTGCAATGATCTACCTCATGTGCTCCAACCTAGGATGCTGGAAATCCCAAACTTCATCTATAGCTAGTTGCTCTGCAATGAGGCTGTGATATGATAAGAAGTGTGCAGCTGTCTTGTCGGCCTCACCGGCTTCAAAAACTTGAGAAGAAAAGGGTAGCTGCAGCAATGAGTACTCCCGAAAAGTCTCAATGATGACACTTCCAACTTGATATGCACTGTCATCATTGGATTTGCCATGGTAGCTGTCCGTCACCGTCACCTCCCCTATTCTTTCTCGGACAGCTCCTTTGGTGGCAAGTAGGATGCCATGGGAGGCCCATTGCCATATTAACTCATGCTTATCTGAGCCTGAGGTAATATCTTCTTCCAGTGCACCACGACTCCTGAGCGCTTGATGCATAGCAGATAGTACATTAGATAGCACAGCAGCAGTTTCATACCTTGTACTGAGTTGGCTCCTGAGCAATTGCATAAAGAGAGTTGCTTCTTTTTAGAAAAAAGTGTGTGTTACGAGGAGAACGAAGAAGCTTGGAAGTAAAAGAATTGAACCAAGTGCAATTTTGCAAGAGGGAACCTGGTAACTTACCGGTCCATTGTATCAGCATCATCGAGCACTTCCTGGATGTACTTGTTGTGGTAGTGCTGGCAGAAACTCTTCATTTCTCGAGGGTCATTGCGTTTGACCCTTGCCATAAGTGGGGAATGTATGTCGCATTGAACCTCCCATATGCGGAGTCTCTCTTTGTACGGGTCATACTCACGTGGAAGCCATGGATCCGGGGATCTCAGCCGATCAGGAAGAATCTTGTCCACGGCATAGAGTCGACCTGATGATCGACATATAGATAGTATCAAGTACGTACGCCGCATGCATGAAGGAATTAGTCAATTTATTACACAGGAGGAAGGGAAGGAATTGGATATAAAGCAAATTTGGAGAGACTGGTCCGACTTATACAGAGGTAGGCAACGCGTGGGTTGATGTCCTCCACCTCACGGGCAGCACGTAGGATGGCCAAGGTGGGGATGTCCTCGAGGTGTTCTTTGAGACCACTAATATTATAGACATAAAGGCCCTTTTGCTTCCAAAGAAACTCTTCATATTCATGGAAGAACGAGGTTGAAGGGAGTTCGACATCACTGTTCAAGGACTCGCCGATGCCACCTAAGGGATTGAGAAATATTAGAGCGTAGTGGAAGCACCAAAGGGCCACAAGGTGCCAATGCTGCTCGTCTTTGTTGCCGATCACATTAGATGTGTGCTTAGCCGCTCGATGTAACGAGTAGGCAGTAAGGATCAATATATCATCCCCACTAAAGGATTGGATGGCACACTGATCATTATCTGATGACTTGCTATCATCATAGACATCTATGGAGGTGGTGGACATGAGCCAGAAAGAGCCTTCCCACGCAGGAGCAGGAAAACCTGCCCCCCGTGTTAAAACATCAACATTGATGGGCTCGTCTAGGTTCTGAACCACAAGCATGTATCTCTTCCCCAACAACTTTTGGAGGATGTGAGGAACCATTGACCTTGACAAGATTTGTAGCGAGTGTGAGTCTGTGCCACTGCCATCCATCGTCCCGTATGTATAGTACCGCAGCTCATCATTCTCTTCCTTGAGCCTTCTGTATTCTTGGTTGAGAGAGAGCAGACCGAGCTGCTCTGCCACTTCGATGGCCAGTCTGTCATTAATGTTGAGCATCGTCCTTGACCATGATGCTTGCTTCATATCCACCTCTATTACGTGATCAAAGGGACCATCCGACCTCATCTTTTCCTCCCGAATGATGCTTGATATAGCTTGTGTGAAACTTGCTGTGGGTCCGACCCCGACATTCCACTGTATGTGCTTATAGGCAACCAATTTTTTCAGCAGGCTGTTAGAGGGTATGCATCGCTGTTGAGATATCCTTTTAGCCTGACCACACAAATAGAAAAGGGGGAATACTAATTTAATTAGTCCTTCGAATAAATTAGTATGCATCTCGCTCATCATTGTTGAGTAGTTAGTTATGATGATCATCTACTCTGTTTTCCCCTTCCTCGCGTTTATTATTTCTTATTATTTGACACTTCTTTTTAAATAAAATAAAGTAGTCTAAGAATCAACATGGGTGCTGGATGAACATGTAATACCACCTTTTTCTGCATGTTTACAAACAAATGGACACCACCTTTTTGTTTATGCTTCCCAGCATGAATATTGGGATACCATAGGGAGGGAGGGGGGAGTTCATGGCTAGAATTCTCTCTGTAAATCTAAACTAAAAATTCAGATGGTTTAAAAAATATACCAGAGGTCGATATCTCGTAGACGATCACGCCATTTGTCCAACATCGATTCGTCCAAGAGAAATGATTCTGCCATGACTTATGTTTACTATTTTCCTTAAATTCTCAATATGCACAGAACCTGCGAGCGATCAAAGTGATTTCTTGAACTAGCTATAAACACAGCATCACATAGTTGTTTGCACAAAGGGGAAATAAAGTAGTTTAGTATTTCATAAATTGCATCCCATCATTACCAGAGATGAGGTTTTTCCTCGATTATTCCTGACGATTTCTGTAGAACCGTCAGGAACGCAGAGTACTCCTGTTGGTCATAAAAAAACCGTCAAGAGAGATCCTGAATATTCCTATCGGTTCTTTAAAGCCCACAGGAAACATAAACACCGTCAGGAATGCTTTGATGACTCCTGATGGCCAACCCCAAACCGACAGGAGTTCTATCCCGCCCTCGACTCGGGACAAAAACTTGCAGAACACGCCTTACCGGCCACCGTGGGTCCCACATCGGGACATAAAAAGCGCGAAACCCTATCCTCACCCGCCCGCGGCCAGCCCCAACTCCCCAACGCCCGCGCCGCTGCAGCCCCAAGCGACTCCCCGATGCCTGCCCCGAGGGGCTCCCCGCTGCCCGCTTCACTACTGCCCGAGGGGCCTCTCCCACGCCCACGCCCACGCCGCCGCCGAGGGGCCCTATCCAGAAGGCTCCTCCGATGGGCCTCTTGACGCCCGCGCCGCCGTCGCCCCGAGGGGCCCTATCCGAAAGGCGTGCCACCACAGCACGTATGGTCGCCTCCCAGCACGAGGTGCCCCCTCTCTCTCAACCTCCTCAGATCCGTACCCCCTTCCCCTCATGGCGTGCGGTGAGGTGCCCTCTCTCTCTCGCACTCAACCCCCTCAAATCTGCGGTTGGAAGGCTTTGTCTTCCCATGGTAAGGAGCATGTGTTCCATGTATGCATTGGATCTGGCCTTTTTCGGGGGGGGGGGGATATTGGATCTGGTGTTTCACCCAATGCTAGTAGGGTAGCAATTGCAGACCGTCATTTTCTATAAATTAATCATGTTTTGCTTGTGTATGCAGTGTAAATGTTCGATGGTATTCCACCAAGAAGGCATAGGTTCAGTCCTGTCTGCATCTTAGAGGTATGATCTGTAGAATTGAGTCTCTTTTTGTCTTTAATTGATTCCTTAGAATTGAATACTCATGCAATCTCTATTTGTTGAAATAGATATTGAGTGCTACTGCTAAATATTTTAGTCACCACAAGAAAATATTTCAGTATTTCCTGATGATCTTTTCCTGACGGTTTGGGCGACAGGAAATGGATACGGGGATTCCTGTCGCTTATAGTTCCTGACGGGGATTCCTGTCGGCCACACTGACAGGAGAAACGATTTCAATGGTCAATCTAGAACCGTCAGGAATTGCCGTCAGAAAAAGTTTATGTTGATCTTTTCCTGATGGTTTGGGCGACAGGAAATGGATACGGGGATTCCTGTCGGCCACACCGACAGGAGAAATGATTTCAATGGTCAATCTAGAACCGTCAGGAATTGCCGTCAGGAAAAGTTTCCTGTCGGCCAGCCGTCAGGAGAAACCAGTCTTTCCTGTCGCGCTGTACCTGACGGCCTTTTCCTGACGGTTTTCAGCTCATTCCTGACGGTTTTTGGCCGTCAGAAAATTTCCTGTCTCTAGTAGTGCATATAATTCGGGTTGTGCTTTGGGGGTATTTGTGTTAATTTTTGAAGTTTTTTTGTCATGTCTACATGTATGCTCAGAAGAATTACTATGTGTGGCTTTGTTTAAGTAATGGAGCATGAGGAAGAAGTCCCACAGTGCAATTCCACCCACATACATATAGAAAGAAAATAGTTAGATATGTGGCATGCTAAGTGGTGCTTTTTTTTTTTGCCTCCTTGCATTGCTTGGCCTATTTTGGTTGTTATTTTATGAGAAAATTTCAAGGTGTAACTTCGTGTGATTCACAAGAGTATATAAGTTTGGTACTGATACCTCCTTGCTTGAACTGAAGGTGGCCAATATATGTTTCTCTCACAAACTCTGCTCCGCAAGCACACGTACTCTATATGATCATGATAAAAAGATGAGCAATTCAGAGTGCATATAGTACTAACTCATAAGCAAATACTTCCCCATTCCAAATTATACAATGTTTTGACTTTTTTAATATATTATTTTTACTATGTATCTAAACATACATAGCAAAAGTTATGTATCTATAAAAGTCAGAACGTTTTATAATTTAGAATGGAGAAAGTACCAAAGAATGGCAATAGTACCTAGTGGTGGTAAAATTTTGCGTTGTTATGTAGATGACAAGAAACGACCGGGTGGACTTGCTGCGCGCTTGAAAGGTCGAAGGGAATTGAGATAATATGATTATTTAGGGGGTATGCCAATTTGTCATTTGAGAAAAAGGCAAACAGCTACTTTTTGTAAGAATAAACATAATGAATGAAGTAGTTTGCTAGGATCAACATATAAGGAATAAAGGGCTCAGAAGAACAGTTGCAAGAAAGACGAGAGGAAACAAAATGGCATTTTTTTTTATCTTTAAAACCCTCCATCTTCAAAATAGAAGGCGCGATTTGACTTGGTGCGGTCTTTAAAATTATACTTTAACAACTAATTTCTTATATAATGCATAATTTATAAAAACAAGAGTTTGATCTTTGGAAGTTGCTTATAAACACAAATCTATTGTAGTCACTTTTGTACTACAAACTTTTTATATGATTAGACTAATTGTTGTTCAAACATAACAAAGTTTAAATTTTAAAAGATGCACATGTCTTATATTTTAGGACAGATGTAGTAATTGATTAGACAAAAAACGATAGGCCAAGAAAGACTTACAGGACGGAACCAACATATAAATTGTATGACTTTTTGTCTACATTTGCTGATCTGAAGGCTTAATTGTAGGTACGAAAGAACACATTTGGAGATTTAGTTAGCATGGAAATGATGGAACAAGAACCGGCTGAAGGGTGGTGGCAGAGGGAAACAAATGGCCGGGAACTGGGAAGAGAACGGCTCTTCCCCATTGCAGCGCTCTGTTTTTATACGAGAATGGAGGGACAATATTCTCAGCTTATAGTGACACGCAAATGGTACATCTCTCGGTCTGAAAGCCAAAGACGAGATTCTCAGGTTATAGTGACACGCAAATTATACCTCTCTCTGAAAGCCAAAGTGTAAAGTTGAGAATACGGATGGGATGAATAGTACCATGTTCAAAGAAGATAGGGCATGCAAAGTTGATTCGTGCTGGAGGAGCATGTTCCTCAAGGAAAAAGGAAAGATAGACGAGAGAGAAAATAAGAAGGCAATGAATATGATGTTAACGCAGGATCATTGTGTCTGAAATCTTGTATCCATCATTTTTCTAGGCTAGCAAATACGATTATTACAAGCAGTTCTAGCAAAATAAAAGAAAAGAAATAGAGCTAGAGCAAAATAAAAGAAGTTTGAGCAAGAAAGCTGCATTGGGGTGTGACGAAACGAAGTTTGAGCAATACAGCTTCTGTAGTTCTGGTGACCATATCATGCCAGAGAGCATCCAGTCCGTACAGAGCAGATACATCTCCGCAGACCGCATCACTACATCTGATTATAGTTTTTTCAAGTATACAAAAAGAAATATTTCTAAAATCTACAAAACGAAAATGTACAGAGCATCATTCTATGACATGAGTTCTGTTATGGCTTATGGTATGATAGTCAAAACAATAATGATTTGCACAATGAAATACGAACCAAACATGAAGCAGGAAATCATCAAAATGATGGTTGAGAAAACAGAGCCAAATCTGTTCTCTGCTTTGCAGTCCATACAAGCTTACCATTTTGCTTTGGAAAGGTCCTCTTGCTCAGGAAATTGATTCATAATCAACAGTCTCTGCAGGGGGCGGCGTAGCAAAAGCCCAACAGTTCACAAAAATACAAGATGGCACTTCGTGCAATAAAGTAATAAACTTCAACCACGGAGTCTTCAGCTCTGTCAGAGAATGGCCATTTGCCATCAGACGCCACATTGATGCTTCTGAGAATGGCCCCTGGAATATACTGACTGAAGCTTTGCCGAACACAGTTTGGACAGCTTGAACCGTCCAATGAAAAGGTACCTGGTTCATCAGGCTATAGACACGAATGGAGGTACTGGAATAAAACCTGGTGATGGATACAGTTCCAGCAATGTGTGGAATTCCACAAAGAATATGTTCTCCATCTGATTTACGAATAGATTCACCAGATGATTAGAAAACTAATATACCATGTGATTCTCTCCATTGCCCCCCACCTCCCATAGAATGTCCAATAGCAGTTGTACTGAAAAATATTGTACATAGTTAGATATATAACACGAAGAGACCCCCACTAAACATTTTCAGCTAGCTTTATATCACATGAACTGTACCCACATTAGCAGAAAATCTATCAGAGAGAACAGCTCAGTAAAAAATATATATTCAGTTTTTCAGTATTACGAATACCTTATAATTTCACTGAGAATTAGAAGTGTGACCTCATGTCAAGTATGCAAATTCCATATTAAGGAAACAGTGAATAAATTAGTACAGAACGAATTCTGCAAAAGCTGATCCATCATCAATGGGAACTTTTGATAACTGCCAATTCTTCTTCATGTAGAGAGAAATGACTTGAGAATTATTTAATATGCGTAAGATTCAGTAAAATTGCTAGTGCAAAGTACAGTTAACAGTGGAAGAGGCTCAACAGTTTTATCTAGTATCACTAATATCAATTCTTATATATAACCAGGACCAGCTGATGCACTTTTCTAGTTTCTCTAAGATAATAGGCAAGGTTTTAAGTCAGACAGTATATTGTTGGGTGTTAGGTATGAGGAATTGTATGGTATAAACCTAGTTGCTCTGGATTTGAAAAATATGGTGTCATGTGACCAAATCATTACCTGTTACAACAAAATATGTAGAAAGTCAGGAAATATACCTAAATATTCATGGAATGGCCCCATAAGGCCATAACAAAGTGATCAACCAAACAATCCTACATGAGTTGGTCCCTCAACCAAACACATCTGTAATACATTCACTAATTAGAAAGCAGATCACAGAAGTTTTTCAAAAATCTTTTAGAGATATGAAGTTTCTTCAGTACATAGTTACATTCGCTGCAATATGTTTTGGTGAGTTTCTATAGCCAATTTATGCCAATGCATCGAACATGTTTCGAAGTTCTGTGTAGTATTCACCCTTTTTCTACATATCTAAAAGGGCGTACCCAGTGCAGAGAGCTCTCACTCTGTGCGGGGTCTGGGGAAGGGTGTTAGTGGCAAGCCTTACCCTCGCCTGTGCAATGCGAGGAGACCGCGACTCGAACCCGGGACCTTCTGCTTTTTTTACATATCTATTGAAGCATATTTATTCTTCCAATAAACTCCATCCAGGTTCTTTCTTCACATCCTTGACTGATTTTCTTATTTCCATTACACCTTCCCAGTCTCCAGAATTTGCTCGAATGTTTGACATAGTAGCAAAACACCCCGAATCACAATTTTCTTCATGGATCTTATTTTCTACAAAACGTCCAAGTACAACATCATCATGAACTCTGCAAGCAGCAAGCAGTGTGCTCCACACCATCGAATCAGGTTTCACAGGCATACTCTCAATAAATTTTTTTGCCTCTACAAGCCTCCCAGATCTACCAAGTAAATCAACCATACAGCAATAGTGGTGCAACACTGGCTCAACCCCATACACAGTTCTCATTGAATTAAAATGTCTGAAGCCTTCTTCAACCAAACCATTTCGGCCACAAGCAGACAAAACACTCACGAGTATGACAGTGTCTGGTTTTACCCCATATCTAATCATCAAATCGAACATCGCCAAAGCATCCTGACTGCTTCCGTGCTGAGCATATCCATCAACTATCGCTGTCCATGTAACTAAATCCGGAACATCTATTTCATCAAAAACTTTACGAGAATCATCCAGGTTGCCACTTTTGGAATATAACTTCACAAGTGAACTGCTCACTGATAGATCAGACAGTATGCCTACTTTGGTTGCATACCCATGTAACAGTTTACCATACAATGGCTTTGCCATGTTAGCACAGATGCTAATAATAGATGAGCATAAAAACCTATCTATATGAAAACCAGCAGCCAACATAAGCTGAAACAATGAGATTGCCTCCTCACTATAACCATTCATAGCATATCCAGATATCATTGAAGATAACATGATCTGGTCTTTGCATGGAGTTGCATCAAAAAGTCTTCGAGCTGTGTGTACATCTTTACATTTGGAATACATGGAAATAAGGCAATGGTTAATGGACGTGGTTGCTCCGTAGGCACGATGGACATGTCCATGAACTTCCTTCCCTTTGAGCAAACACTCCGGTACATTGCAGGCTGAAAGAATGGCACTTAACGACACATCATCTGGTGTAAAACCTTCAACAATCATATTCCTTAACACCTGGAATGCCTCAACTGAATGGCCATGTGTTGCAAAACCAGCAACCATTGATGTCCATGACACTTCATCCCGTTCGTGCATCTCTTCAAAAACCTTGTAGCTATCCTTCAAATCCTTACATCTGGAGTACATGGTGGAGAGCGCACTTGCCACAAGAACAGCATGAATAAACCCGTCTTTTATGACCAATGAATGCAGCAGTCTGCCAAGCTCAGATGAGTCAACAGAACTGAAAACAGAAGCGTAGCATTTGTCATTCGGTCTTAGGCCCTGACATAACATCCTCCTTAACAGCTGAATTGATCTTTGTAGGCTATGCCTGCTAACCCCAGATATGAAAGCCGACCAGATGCTTCTGTTGCTAACTGTGCCAACTTCTTGAAAGATCTTCTCACACAGCTGAACAGCCCCAACATTTGCATATGTGGAAATCAAAGCCTCCTTGACAACATGATCCAAGTACAGCTCAGTCTTCATAATCATGCCGTGAACCTGGTTAGCCTCCCGTATCATGGACATCTGAGAGCAGGCAAGCAATATGCTCGTAGCCGTGTACTTGTTAATTGCCACACCACTCCGCAACATTTCCGTAAGCAGCAGCATTGCACTTACTGGGTCCTCCTCTTGCACGAAACCAGCAATCGCAGTTGTCCAGGAAACCACATTCCGGATTGGCATCCTCCAGAACTCACTCATGGCAGCTCCCATCTGACCACATTTCACATACATGTTAACGATGGATGTCCCAACGAAGACATCGTACTCGGGATCACGCCGGAGCACCATCCCATGCACCGCCCTCCCAACCCCCAACTCTGCACCAGCCGCGCACGCGCTGAGCGCCCCAGAATACGTGAACGAATTGGGCTCGCAGGAGGAACCCCTCACCATGTCGCGGAACATCTCGACTCCGAGCGCGTGTTCACCGTTGCGCGCCGCCCCGGAGATAGCTGTGTTCCAGCAGACCGCGCTTCCGCGATCCCCGTCCTCGAACGCCCGCAGCGCGTCGCCCAGGCGGCCGTGCTTGGCGAGCAGGTCCACCACGGTGCTGCAGATGTACGCGTCCCGCGAGAGCCCATCCTTCCAGGCTGCGCAGTAGAGCTGCTCCGCGAAGGCCAACGGCGCGGAGGCGGCGGCACAGGCGGCCAGCGCGTTGCCGTAAGAGAACCGGCCCCACGCGGAGGCAGACCCCGCGGCGCGCGCACGGACGAAGCCTGCGAGCGCGGCGGGGAGGTGCGCGAGGCGGTCCGCGGCGGGGCGGCGCGGCATTACGTCGAGCGGGTAGTGGGCGCGCGAAGCGGGGGCGGAGGACGCATAGAGGCAGCCAGGCTGGGGTCGAGGCGGGGACTTGTGCGGGCATCGATCACAGCCGCAGCCCGCAGCCGTCTAAAATCGGACGCAGTGGAATTGTGGAAACGTGTACGAAGAGGTTATGCTAGCCTGCTACACATGATTCGTTTGGTTTTTTCTTTTAAAGGTTATGATTTGTTTGGTGACACAGTGAGATACCGTGAGATAGGGTGGTTTTCTGAACATACGTGACATACGAAGATTATATTCCCCATTTGATTTTGGAAATGCTTAAATGAAAACGCGCAAGATATCATGCTACTATCTGGCCCGCACACCCCACCCCCACCCGCCCGTTGCTGCCCCGCACACCTCTTCCTCCCTTCCCTCTCTCTCTCCAGCGACAACCTCACCCACGAGCACCTCCCTGGCGACCTCCTCTCCGTGCCCGCGGCCCACCGCCTCCCCAGCGCGTGGCCATGGCGGATGCGGCGACATCGCCAGGTTAGCTTCCTCATCCTGTCTCTCTCTCCTCTCTCCTCCTGGATCTCTGAGCTATGGTTCCGACGAGCTCTCCCTTCTTGTCTCCCAACTCCGGCGGGTATAGAAGGGACTAACCGGGGGAGGTAGGCCGGCCAAGCAGTGGGGCCGGTGGGCAGTTTAGGGGCCTTGGCGGCGGTGGAGGCGGTTGGACCAGGTCGGTGCGGGGGAGCTCCGGCCATGGTGGCGGCGATGGGGGAGGGGAAGAAGGTGGCGCAGCGGACAATCTAGGGTTTTGCCGGAGCTTCTGGGCCGCGGCCGCAACCGCGGAGCTCTGACGAAACCCTAGCTCGTCGCGGCGGGGTGGTGCCGGCGGTGGGGGCAAGGGCGCCAGAGTCAGGGAAGAAGATCTGTCGGCATTTTTTTCGCGACTAAAAACTACGTGCTAGAAAGGTGTGCACGCTGAAACACCAAATCGTGCGCATGCACGCTCTAGCAACGCCTTTCATATTTGGTTAGAGAACACTAAAAAGTAGAATGAGGTATTATTGACATATAAGAGTCATTTATCTTTCTTCTTCTTTTTTTCTTGTGCCTCTCTGCACCCGCTCTGCCCCCATCCTCATTAATCTTATTTGTTAATGGCTTTTTGCAGCTAAGGATGACAATGGATACTCATGAAAATCCGATGGATTTTTATCTTATTATTAAGGTATGTGTGTAAGCTAATTTACTTATCCATAGATATGTTAATATGTGTCGGTGTTTTCGGACCACCGACGAGTAAATTTGTATTTGCGCGTCTGGCTCGGATAGTGTGCTCGGAGGACACAAGGGTTTATACTGGTTCGGGCGGAACATCCCTACGTTCAGTTCGCTGTTGCTCGTGTTACCGACACTTGGTTTGCAGTAGGGGTTACAAACAAATGAGAGAGGGAGAGGATCCCAAGTCTCTGATGAAAGAAGTAAACGAGTGCTGAGATCTCACTTGCCGCTCAGCCCTCTGCTCGTGTTGTGCTCTTGTGTTTTTATCTCGTATGTCGATCCCCCTGGTAGGGGCGCCCTACTTTCCCTTTTATAGGCGAAGGGAAAGCGCGGGTTACAACGGAGAAAAAGAAGAAGAACGAGAGAGAAGAAGGCTTCCAGGATCACCGGGTCCTTCTTCTCCTTCATGCGGATCCCGCCGATCCTGTAGATGTCAATAGGGATGGCTCCACGTCACGGCCTTGTTCATCACTGGCGCCATGCGCAGGCATCATCCGTCGGTCATGGCGTTCCATTCCGTCCCAGCGGACGTCGTGGTGAACTGACGTGCCTGTCAGCCTTCGTACGAGGGTTAGGCAGAACAACACCGGCACGACCGATACTGTTCTTGATGTGAATCCTCGGGTATGGCCCGTCATAGCCATGGGTTACATCGAGGCGTGTCAATCTCTTCTCTAGTGTCAGAGTTTTGACCCAGGCCCATACGGTTGGACCTAGAGTGGTTGGCGGCGGTATGGATCCCTATCAGACGAGACGGAGCCCGCAGCCTTGGGTGAGACCCCCGCGGCCTCGAGGTCGAGCAAGATGGAAACCGCGTCCTTAGGGTCGGACGAGACAGAGCCCGCACCCAAGGGGTCGAGCGAGACGAAACCCGCGACCTTAGGGGTCGGGCGAGATGGAGCCCGTGACCTTAGGGGTCGGGCAAGACAGGACCCGCACCCAAGGGGTCGGGCGAGACGGGACCCGTACCCAAGAGGTCGGGTGAGGCAGATCCCGTGACCTTGGGATCGAGCGAGACAGAGCCTGTACCCAAGGGGTTGGGCGAGACGAAGCCCGCACCCAAGAGGTTGGGCGAGATGGATCCGCGACCTTGGGATCAAGCGAGACGAAGCCCGTACCCAAGGGGTCGGGCGAGACGGAGCCCGCTGCCTTAGGGTCGGGCGAGATCTTTTAATACGTCTCGGGCCATCCGGGGGAGTCAGCGTGGGCGCTAACCTCCTTTCTTTGGGTATCCCTACTATCGATACCCGACAGTAACCCCCGAGCCTGTGGAGGAGTAGAATACTCCTTTGGAGGTTTTTTTCGGACGAGAGGACTCTGAGGACCTTGGCCATCTTTTTGTAGACCGTGGCGTGTTCTAGATGGGTGGAGGTTCCCTTTTGTCATGATCGGTCTCCTTGGGGGCATGTAACTGTAGGTTTCGAGAGGTCGGAAAGATTTTTCTAGATTCTGGTCCCCTAGGATCCGATCAGTCCGCCGTCGTACTGTGACTGCACGTTTGGTCTCCTTGCGAGTCCAACTTTCCTCGAGCCCCCACGCATAGCAGTGGTCCAGTCGAGGGTCAGCTCGTCTTTGTGATCGTCGTCCCTCAAGCGTTTTTTTCGATACAACAGAGGGGCTGAGCCGTGCCATGTTTTTCCTTGATGAACGCAACATGGTGCTCGGTGAGCTATTAACGGACTTGTCCGAGTGGGGCCCCAGCCTCCCGTTCACGAGGGTCCGGCATGGGTCAGCTGGTGACCGACTCCAGACTCTTAGCGGTCAGTCCATATAGTTCTTGGGTCCGTTCGGCCGATTCCAAGGGCTCGTTGCCTTTCTTTGAGGAAAAACCATGGATTAGGAACCAACCAAGACTCGAACGTGGGCCGGGATGCCCGCGGCGCTCGTGCTCCTGGGTACTGGCCACTAGTGGGCCCATCCCTTTCCATCCCTCGCTCTAAGGGTGCCCCGGAGCGGCTGTGAGCCCATCGGTGGGCCAGCCTTCGAACTCCTGGTCCTGAATGGGCCGTAGGAGCGTTTTCAGCTCTAGATCCCTTCTTACCTGCAATGGTTCTTGGCCCATTGAATGGGCGAACCATCATCCAGGGTATCCTTCGAGGGCGTTGTAATAGAACCATCCAATTTATAAGAGCACAAGTACAATAGCAATCACCGAAGTGATCAAACCATCATACTTGAACCTGTATAAATCCTGTAGTCTGATGAAATCATGAAGGATCTCAAACAAACCAACATACAAACCAAGATCGTACATAATTCAACACAACCAGTCATATGTTACAACAGGTTCACAAATAGTTCTCATACATCGGAGTTTCAACAAAGTTATTACAACTCAAATTTAAAAGTAGCGGAAGCAACATAGTTTTGAAACAACATCAAGATAGTTCAAATACATAGCCAGTTTAAGATCATCTCCAACAAAAGCACATAGAGGAGATGATATAGAATGACCATGCCCTTGGTCTTACTCTCCATCAACTGCAGGAGTTATGCAATGCTTGTAGTAACCATGGTACATCACGTCATCTGCAACAAATGGGAATAAACCCTAAGTACAAGAATGTACTCAGCTAGACTTACCCGTCATAAACCAAAATAATAAGACACCAAGGAGTATGCATGGCTTTAAAAGGTGGAGTTAGCTTGACAACATTTTGCATAAAAGCTTAAGTAACATAATTTGGAGATTTATTACCTTTAGCATCAATTTGAATACATATTCAATTAAGCATCTCTAGATTAGCACCTATATTAGATCAATCACTTGATTAAGCTAACAAGCATTAGTAACCATATCCGGTATAAGAATAATTTGAGCATCATCATAACCATCAAGTTTTAATTAGTGCTTCTACGTTGCCGCTGCTCAGTCAAGTTCTCACTGTCCGGGAGAGACAACGATTCAAATTGATTCCTACCCAGCTGGGGAATTTATTCCTAACACAAACCAAGGCACACCTCGCAAATGTAGCCTCAGGTCACCTTTGGTACAATTCAGGACTAACTCACGGGTCCAACCAGCGCCGCACCCTCAGAGATTCTACTAATCTGCTAGGAAGATCGAGACCCAGTCCCATCCTTGGACTCACGCCATTGGCTCTTCACACATCCTTACTGTCTCTAGTGTGCGCACTTTCACTTATCGGGGCCTAGCCTGAATTGAGCTACTCGGCTTCATGGGCGTATCACCAGATACGGCCAACTAAGTGCTAGGCACGCGTTCAACATGACATGAGGACGTACAGCGAATCGGTCCTTAATCGACATAGACGGGGATAGATAGGCACCCAAGACCTCCATGCCTTGTTGCTTCTCTATCACGATCCCGCCCGGTCTCCTTTATTCATTAACACATGGTTATATTCCATGCTAGCACATATAGCCAACCGTGATTAGTTATCAGCCTATATCATGCAGGTGACAGGTAATCACCCGACTTCTACCAACTAAGCATGGCTAAGCATATATTCGATCCTAGACTTACATAGGATTTAAGATGTGTATATATCTAGACAAGGAAGATATATGCAGCAAGTGGTTACAATCAATTCCTAATACTTAATGCATCAACATAAAGGACTCAAGTTGATAGTTCAAAAATATAGGAGGCTTAGAATGCTCTGGGGCTTGCCTTTCACAAAGGTTGAGGGCTGATGATCTAAGCACTTAGGCAACTGTTCACCATCGGGCTCACCTTCTCCTAGGGCCTCCTATTGCTGCACTTCCTAATG